TGATCAGAACTAATGTTGCTGTAAATGCAGTGTAGGGAATTCACTCTTCCCCAGCCTCTTTAGGAAAAACTACGTTTGTTAAAATGTATAATGATCTGTGTCAAATTAAAGTGATTTCATCCAATCTTCTTTGTGTTATTGCATTTGTTGCTTGTTTTAAAATAATGAAAAGCAATCACTGAAATGATCAGGAGATGCGCGGTCCAGTTTTCGTTAGTTAAAATGCGTCAAGTGTCGAAAGACACGAGGGAGTCTTTAGAATCATTTGCTCCTAACGTTTTAAACAAAAGTAGTGGCGAGGCAGAGTGCAATAAAAAGAAAAGTGAAAAACAATGTGACGCATTTGGAAAATTCAAGATTTATTTTCATTTATTAATCCGTCTTTCACCAAAGATCACAATTATAGATAAATACAATATAGGCACAGACTGAGGCAGTATGATAACCTTGAACAAAAATGCTTTCTTTGTAATAAAACAAAAATTCAAAAATGTATCACATAATCTAATTGCTTTTATTTATAAACAGAAATGCAGCTACTATGACTGCTGCTGATATCTTAAATTATATCACACATTTTTAATTTTTAACAAATCCCATTGGCTGCCAATCCAGCAYATAGGCATCACGTTATAATGTAAAACAAATATGTTATTTTTTTCAAGATCTAAAGTTGTTTTTATCTTTCAAATAGAKATTTTAATTATTTGAACATTAATTTTACTATGCATATGTTTTTAATCACAGTATAGAAAAAATGTTTTATGAACAGTACATTGTAATGTTATAAGATTATAATATATGTTCAAATTCGATTCAATTCAAATAAAAAAAAATACTGTATTGATCCCAAAGGGAAATTAGATAATAAAGATAATGTTACGCATTATACCAATACAAACTATAAAATYCTAGGTTAAAAATAATCCAATATGTAGGCCAGCACTGGATCAGTTAGACTGATTAGTTTTAACTCAACAGGTTTAGATTATCAGTTTGTCCAACCATACTGGGTCAAGTTCTCTACCCAAAATTTGGTTAAATGACTAATTTGTGGAATTACAGCTAATGAAATCTTGAGTTATAAAACAGTAATGCATAATAACAGTTATTAAATAATTACAGCCTGGGTTGGGATTAGATAGTTAGCTCTGATAGCTATTAGCGTTAGCAAACTAAAGGTATTTGAAAGGCAACCAGGTTTAAAATTTGCTTCATTTTTTTTTACTTCTGACTTAAAATGACAGACTGTGAAGACTGACATGACTCCTTTCTAACCCAAGCACTGGGTCAAACTTAAAGTCCCAATAATTTTGATGGTTTTAAATTAAAAAAGTCATCTAGTTCCAATCAAGGTTATGTTTATTTAAAGTAAACGTAAAGTAAATTTGTTATCTTATTCAGTTGAATGGAACCAATTGATAAAACCTTTTAATTAAACCCATCATATCTGTTTTTTGAGTGTACACAAACTTGATGGTTTAAACAAAACTGAAAGTAACACCAGCAAAATAGATGTTAGCTATTGGTAACTTTTGGATTATRACAGGCTAATGTTAACCATTTCATTAGATAAGAAGTGAGGCTGCAGTAGGCTGTTTATTCCACCAACATTAGTGCTAACCTTTGTAGCTTGTTGCAGATTTGTTTCAAAACAACCATTTTTTAAAGTGATGGGTGTCATTCCTCTGGTAGCCGTGACCTTCAGTGCTGCTCTCAATTGGTATTTTTAATAATCCTTTTTTTTCTGTCTGTCATACAGCTGACAGACATCTCACAAGTAGGAGAGGGGGAACACTACTCTGCGCTATGTTTGACTAGAGAAAACAGCCAAAMTGGAAATAGTTGCTATATTTTTGTGAATTATTACCCCATTTGTATACTTTGATACCAAAACCTGATCTGTGCCTTTTATATAGAAAATAAATAAATAAATAAAACATACCCAAAATGTTGACCGGCGTTTACAACCTKAGAGAAGATGTTTGAAATCTGACCAGGGGAATGGTTGGCCCCGAAGGGAACCAGAATTTTTCAGCCGATGTGGAGAGGGGAGCAGAGATGAACATTGACTTGTTTATTTTCATTTWTTTATTTCCCCCGAGATTGGCAATGATAAAAGTGAGTGATGCTGATAAATACCCACACAGCCAGTTTATCAGCAGCTGTCTGGTTTGGGGTCGCCGGCGGCAGCATCCAGTCCTGATAACCCCCGAGGCCGGAGGGATGATGTTGGGAGAAGGAGGGGTGCATGGGGATTATGCAGCTGCTGGGTCTTGGCCAGCGTAAAAAAATGCTAAAGTGTCTGCTTCAGCAGTAGATATTTTTTGCATGTGCGTTGGTAGAAGCCAGCCACAGTGATGAGGAGAATAAAAACATTAAAAAAACATTCATGCTTTTAACCAATCAGGAATGAGCGCAGAAACTGAAAGAACTTTGTGTGTTTTTCTGTTCATTGATCTGATGACATATCAGCCTCAGTTTGTCAGGCTTAGGCTCATATTGTCAGACTTGACTCAGCTTTCTCCAATCTGGAACTGCCCTCTCTCAGCCTCCGATTTGTTTTGGGATTACCGCCGCCATGGCAACAGTGTGGCCGACTCTGGATGCTGGCACGCGCACTTTGGCTAACATTTAGCAAGTGGCTGCTATGACCTTGTTAGAATCTGAGCACCATTATAGTATGTTAATGTGTGGAATTAATATAGCACCATGGTAACATTTACAAGTGTCAAATTGAGCCACATGAAAAGTCAAGTGATGGCAAAAGCCATTCGGATACGATCAGATCCCAAGAGTCGTGCTGCGTGTCAGAAATATTTGTACATTTCTTCTGTGGTTTGTTTGCACCGACTGTATATTGATTTTCTGAGAAGGTCAGGCCTATTTAGACACCTGTATGCCATTTCTAATTACTACACAGACTGTGTTTACATATTAAAGCCTGTGGCCCATTGCACATTTTCATGAAGCTGTTGTAGAGCTCAGTGAAACATGTTGCTTTTGTTAGTGTACTTACTCATCCTTATTGTTATAATTATATTTTATTGGTTGAGTGTTCCTATTGCAGTTGGCAGCACCCCCAGCCCTGAGCTTCACACTGTGTGCGCGCCTCTTTTTACCTTCAGAGTGGCTTTACAAGGAAGAATAAATGTAGATCTTTAAGAAGTGTCGATGTTTCTGTTCATTGATCAGAACGCCTTTAAGAAGAATGTTTGTTTTTGTCCTTTAATTTCAACGTTTTTGTGTTCAAAAGTTATTGGGTTTTTTTATTTTTTTTTTACAGGAAAAACGATGTAATACAATAAAAATGAAAATAAAAGCAGATTGTATAAAGAGCAGCACCAACAGTGAGAGAGGGCCCATGTGTGGGAGGTTGTGTGCATATGTGCCTGCGATGCGCCTGTGAGACTGTGTGCACCTGGAAAGCACTTGACAGATGGTTACTTCAGCTCTCGCTGAACGTTGCTTCTTTTTTTCCTCTCTCTCCCCTCCGTGTTAAGCCTCTTTCATATCGAAAGTGTCTCGGTCAGCATTATGATCAAGGTAGACTCTTTCAGCCGTCTTGATTGTTTGCCGGGCATCTCTTGAGTGTGTTTATCCTGCCCCCATCATTTATTTTCTGTTTGATTCAGKCGAGCCGAGGGAGAACAGAGCTTTGACTGTTTCTGCTCATTTTTTTTTTGTTTGTCAGTAGGATTACAAAGCAGTGCATCAAACATCATTATATGTGTCATCAGATCAGTAAGTTCTCAATCTCTGGCAGAGACTTTGTACTTCAAAAGAGACTTTTATTTGGGAGAATGTGATTCGGAAAGGGAGTAATGCTGTTTGATTGTTTCCTCCATGTTTGATGTGGCTAAACTGGTGCAAGAAATACAAGTTAGCCGGGCAGTTAAACAATTATTTTTTAGCCTTAAATGTTTCAGATTAGTTATGTGCTTATTTTTTATCAGCGGGTAATTAAAGGAAAAGTGGATCCAACAGTAACAAAGACTCTTCCTGTTTTGATCAAACAGGCAGATTGACTTGCATTGCGGCGTTTTCTCATCCACATGGGAACACCATTTTGTGAATAAGCCATTTTTTATTATTATTTCAGCTTTGCATCCATGCAGAAATGACATTTTAGCAGGGGCAAAAAGGGTACATTTTGAAAACAAGTTTTTATAATATTTTTTCTTTAAAATATAACCCTTACATTTTTAGCCAAAATGCAACTTTTTGAAAACAATGATGTCATATTGCCACGGCTAATCTGACCTACAACCATTGCTCGTAATACATAACCATAAAAACAGAAAATTCTATGTTTGGCTTTGTGCTACTTTACTACAGAATCTAGTCACTTATCTATTTCTTAATTTTTTTAGTATTTTATATTTGTTTTACCTTTGGTTTTTGTGGTTGTTTTCTTAACTCGCTATGATTTAATGTACTGTGTTTTTTATCTTTTATAATATTTTAGGTAAATTATGATTACCATTTTTTTCTATTTGCTAAATGCCAGAATAATGAGAAATAATTTTATTTATTTTAATGCAATTTTATTACTTTCTTCAAAGTCAAAARTTTAAATATACTTCATTAGTATTTGGCACCATTGTCCTTAAACTGAAAAACTTGGGTCAAACGTTTTGGATATCCTTCCACAAGCTTCTCACAATAGTTAGCAGGAAATTTGGTCCATTCTTCTAACTGTACATGCCTGATTTAGTTGTTGTTTTTTGTGAAGATAAAAGCATTTCTAGAAACGGTGCAGTGTTCACAAGAATAGTTTTAGAAATGACACACATACACACACACACACAAAGAAAAAGAAGAAGAAAAAAAYGCCTCTGAAACTTTATTGTGTGAATCTTTGCATTCCTGTCTTCCCTCTCCCTGCTATCCATCATCGCAGGTGCTGCTCACTCAGTGAGTTTGGCGCCTCATTAAAGATTGTGCAACGCATTTGAAGTCCTGTCACTCATCTTCTCCTCTCGCCCTTTCTCTTCCAGATGGTCACAAGAACAAAGAAAATATTTGTGGGTGGCTTGTCGGCCAATACAGTAGTGGAGGATGTGAAACAGTATTTTGAACAGTTTGGAAAGGTAAGCCTGCTTTTGTTACTAACCACCATTGTGTTGTCGCAATATTCGTTCTGTTTTGAACTGCGTGTGGTCTGCTGTTGATGGAAATCAATACAGAAAACTTTTTATTTGATCATTTTGGAAAATATTAAATAGTAATGGGTATTGTTGTGATTCTTTTGATAGACAAACAACTTAACACTTAGCTATKTGCTAGAAAGTATTAGCGTTGGCTACAGAGCACACCGGAACCAATTTGGCTTGCAGTCTTTCCGAAAAAATTTGGMTCCATTTCTGTGACATTTTACTGTTTCTTGGATAATGAGTGTTTGTATTTGGCTTTCTTGTTGTTGAAAAGTCTTGGCTGCTAACTGACTGACTCATATCTATGTGTATATTAAAGAATATTAATCCKTAAAACCACAGATTATGAATTATTTTTATGTGACAGGGCGGGATTGTTACATTTCTACAGTGAAAATCATCTCAGAGCTGGAAAATTGTTCATATAGCATAGCTGCTTTAAAGTGATAGGTCAGATATTTTGAAGTGGTGCTCTGTGGAAAGCAGATATGTTAAAAGTTCACTTCTGAATTGACTGAGCTCACAAGTACAAGCAGGCCATGGTCATAGTTCATTACATTTTTATGGGCATCAAATTTCAGTGTTATATACAAGCACAAAAAGCAGCAGCAGAAATATTCTGCTTTTCAGGTTGAATAAGCAAGTAAGACAAAACTGATGGTGATTAAAGATTTGTAAAATAGCATTATTCTGCTACTCTCATGAACCTAGAAAATGTTTGAGCTTGTTTTAAAATAGCAGAACATCACTTTGGTCTTGGCCCCTCTCAAACTCACAGTTTGTTTGTCAGTCTGGTCAGAATTAAACTCCATTTC